CAGGAAGCAATTTGTAGGCAGCAACTTGTGGGTAAGTGTCTAACCCATGACTGAGCAGTTTTGCTATCTAGAGCACAAACAGAGCTTGCAATGTGTACCTTCAAGAGTGCAAAATTTTACATGCGCAATGTACATCTCAGTGCTAGACAGGCAGTTTTGTATTTTACATAACATGTAGCAGCACCACATTTTTATTAATTTTTCTGTCACAAAATCCTCATTGTGCACAGCCGCATTAACAATTTTTTCCTATCCCTTGCATTTAAAAAAAAGGAACTGAAGGGAACCACCCAGAAATCATCTTCTTAGGAAGATTAAAAAGACAAAAATCTTCTCCTTATAGGGCAGAAACCCCACAAATTGAATTAGTTCAATCTTAGCCCTGGAAAATCTCATCAAAGTAAACTGCAGATCTGGAAAGCTTACTTTAAATATTTCATATACTGCTAACTAAAAGAGTAAGAATAATCCTATTGGCAAATTCAAAGGAAATCTGCTCAAACAACAAACAGTCTTTTTCTGAAAAGAAGAGGAAAAAATCCCAAACCTGCTATTCTCTAATGCTTTGTATAAGCACCACTAAAATAATTTGTAACAGTTACAAATACAAAGAAAGCAGAGTTAATTTGCTCTCCTTATGATAGTGGTTCTTCAAATACTCAGCAGGATAAATCAAAACTTTCAAATTTTGCTTACAAATAAGCTTTGTTAATAGCAGTATGGTGTTTGCATATAATTTTTGAGGCAGTTTGATGTTATATTAGCACAGCCTGTTGCATAGACAACATGGATTAGGTCGTCATTATTTTTTGTTCTCAAGGTTTTGTAAAAGTTCTGAAGTTATCTTTGATATTTATCAATTCTCCCTCTATAAAGTTGGACAGCTCAGCTTCAGTACTGGTGCAATATTTAAAAACATGACATCAATGCTGAAGTTGTAGAAAATTTTTTAAATTGCATTTTTTAGATTCAATCTGGTGTAAATCATGGCCTATCAGAAAGCAACTCTATGAACCTCCCCAAGAAGTACCTGTATCACTGGGCTAACAGGTGTTGATTGACCTTACTCCATTTTTTCTCTCTGACTATATTGTTGGTACACACTGGCTAAGCCTTCAAAGACCGAAATATTCCCTCTCAGCTTTGCCTTTGCATTGGTGATATTCAGACCAAGAAAGACACTGAATCCAGATCTCCTGTTGCCTGCACACACATACGTGGTGATGTCCAAGTGAGGGGTTACAACTACTTGCCCTGCTAGGAATGCAGGGAGTGACACTGCTGTCCTCTGCACACACCTCAGGGATGTTAGGTGAAGTCTGGACATGCTCACTGCCACCTCTCTTTACACTGCTGCTTGTATTTAGGTACCTATTTATAGCAGTAACATAAAGAGTACGTAAATGGCGAAGCTGAGAGACTGGGGTGACTACACTAATTAGTCAAAGCTGCTCTAGCGTCTAGACACCATTTGGCATTGTAGTCACGTAAGGGAAGTGCTGCATCAATATTCAAACCAGAAAAGAAGTATAAATCTGACACTGAAAAAACCCAGACTAAGTCAATGAATGTGTGTCATAGTGATGAATGGCACCATTATAGAAAAAACAACAAGCCAAAATACTTGTTCTTCTTTTGTGGGGGTCAACTGCAGTATCCTACTCTGTAGCTACAAATAGCTCCTGTAGAGCTGGGGGAATGCTGCTTCTGCTGGGATGCTAGAGTGGCAAGAGGGATTGGTATGTGGCTAAACTAATGGCTTCATTGTTGGAGGAGCATTTCATTTTCTCTGTTTCATAAACATACAGGGAGTGGGCAGTGAGAAAATGAGGCAAAGACTACATAAGCAACTCTATCAATCAGTGAGATGAAAAAAGCCTCAAAGCAGCTCCATCACAAGAGGTGATCCTCCCTGTACCTAGTAATGTAGCTTTGATTAATCTTTTTTTCATTAAAAGACACTAGAGATCTGTAATATTAATACATCTCACACCTCCCTAGTTATCTACACACACTATTGAGCACCTGTGAGCAACTATAGATTCTGGTATTTTTTTTAGTACTTCTGCATGTATTTATTAAACAGCAAGTCTGTCACAGTTTTTTCAACAAAAAGCTTAGTTTCTCTTTGGTTGATAACTTCCTTGGCAAACAAGGACAGTGTCCAGACCTTAAGGGCACTGATATTCCTGCCCACCTCTGGGGCTTCCCCCACCCAGTCTGTGGCCCAGGTCCCGATTCAGGACCCCCAGGGCTCAGTCTCTGCCCCAGCAATACTGTAGGACCTTGGTCTCCAGCCCCACCAGCTCTGCTCTGCCCTGCCAACCATGGACCCCACTGCACCAGGTCTGCCCATGGGCTGATGTCCCAGCCTGACCCCTGGCTGGGGTGGTGGGATGAGCCCAGCCTGAAAAGTTGTGTCCTGCCTGTCCCTGGGGACCCCAGGGAGCCCCAGCCCATGCTGCACCCTGACACCCAGCTCAGCATTTCCTCCTTTTGGGAAGTGGGAAGGGTAAAAAAGTAAAGATCTGATGGCAGATCATTTGCCTCCCAGGGCCTGAATACTGAAGGC